GTGATTAGTTTTGTATAAACCGCATAAATTAGTCCTCACCCAGAGCCCACTTCCACCCTCATGTGGTACTTTGTTGATGAAATTTTAACTTAGTTTGTGTCACTTAATCAAAGCACAACTCATTCGGAAACCCCACTTNGTGATTAGTTTTGTATAAACCGCATAAATTAGTCCTCACCCAGAGCCCACTTCCACCCTCATGTGGTACTTTGTTGATGAAGTTTTAACTTAGTTTGTATCACTTAATCAAAGCACAACTCATTCGGAAACCCCACTTTACTTTTTCGTTCACATATTTTTGCATAAATCGGAGTGAGAAATCATTTATTTATTTATTTATATCAAATGGCAGGCGTCTTGATATCATTAGCCCTTTAGTTGACTTCGGGGCCTCACAGAGGGGAAGGAAAATCAAATTGAAAAAGTCGATAGGGGGGGGGGGAGGGAACAGAAGAGTGTACTGAGGTGAGTACTGTGAAAATATTCGAATATGGCACAGAGTGAGGTGATGGTAGTTTGAAGCGAGAAGTCAGCTGTCGGTTAATAGACTTTTTTGTCGTATGAGTATACGTTGCCCAGGGTGCACCACGTGGAGGTAAGTCTATCCCTCTCTCTTATAGTTTCCTTTGCAAGTAATTAGAGGAAATTAATAAACCAACTTCTAAGTCCTAAACGAATCACACACAAATGAGGCCTAGATTTGAAAAGTCTAAATTTTTTATCAGAATTTCAGATCAAACTGATTGGAGGGTTGAACCTTTGCTTTAAATCCGCTCTCTAAGAGGCGATTAAATACCCCCCACTCGTGAATCAGAGAGAAATATCAGCCTTCAACAACTTAAAAGAATGGGAGCTTTGGTTAGAACAACTTGTACTTAACAATTCTACATTTATTTCATTGATCAGTGGCATTGTTTGTCTGCTTAGTAAACTTCGCATTACGCTTATTGGAGAATCGTGAGTGAATGAGCGAGAAAATGAGTAAGGATAGGAAGCAAAATGGTTAGTAATAAGATAGGGCGATCCAGAGAGTTCAGGGATGTGAAATTGACAATTTGATCAAAAGTAGGTTTCAATGTTCGCCCAGAGGCACGGCACCTCTTGGGGTGTGCGATAGACTTACCTCCACGTGGTGCATCCTGGGCAACGTATACTCATACGGCAAAAAAAGTTCATTAACGGGCAGTTGACTTCAAACTACAATGACTCCACTGTTTGTCATATTTGACTACTTCCACATTACTCGCCTCACCTTTTTCTACCTTTGCGTCTCTCTCTTTTACATCTTTGAAACACTCTTCTATTCCACCCCCCACCACTCTCGAATTTTTTTCATTCTGATGTTCCTTCCCCTCTGTTGAGCCTGATGTCAACTAAAGGGCTAATGATAACTATCAAAACGCCTGACATTTGATATAAATATATGTTCGCCTGAGAAAGTGGGCATATCCCAGAGTAGGCAAGACCCACGGCCTCGAATTATAACCACTTCATCTACCTGAGTCGATATTGGCATTCACTCAACGATCATTTAAAACAAAATGAGCATTCTATATTTTAATCCGGTGTTTCATTTGAGAAAATTTGTCACTTTATTTCACCTTCAGCGGTTCTTAAGGTAAAATCACGGTAGAATGATATGTCCTAGGTTTGGAAGGGAAAATTTTCAATTTAAAAATTGACAAAGCAACATGGTGGAAGGAGTTGTAGCCCATGGCAATTGTCAACCAAATTACAAGGTCATCCCCAAGGGGTTGAACTGGACTTAAGCAAAATTTCAATAGTTTTAACGCAATTAAGCTCTCTTCTAGAGAAATTTAATAGATATCATCATTTCCCAATAACAGCAGCAAAGGTGACTGATAAGTAGGGCGCTGATAATGTTGTGTCTATTTATAGCTTATAAAAGGACAATAAAAAATCCTTTTTCTACTGTAACTCCATGTGGAATCACTAATTGCAAACCTATTGTGGAAGGGTATAAAGACGCAGATGACCACATCTGATAAACGGCGCCAAGTTACAACATCAAATTTGGAGAGCAAATCAAGAAACTACCACAATCATAGTTCAGGTGACTGAAAATTACAGCTACAACATTTGACATCGATAGAAATAACACTGTCTTGTGAGACTCACATTTCGTTAACTAACGGAGTTAGTAATCCACGTCTCTAGGTGCGCAGCATTGAATACTGACAGATTGTGCGACTGGTAGATGATCGTTCCTAGCACCTTTTTCATAGAAGGACTAACTCTACTTCGTACAAGCCACCCAATACACACGACCGTATTTCAAATTCGCTCTGCTGACTCAGTTCTGCATAATACGATGAGCCGCCCTCCACGTTCTACTTCACCTACAATCTACCCCACCTGTTGATCAGTTATCATGGAATTTCATGTAGTTAAAACTGACGTAAATTAGTGGCGTTGCATTCCAAAAAGCTAAAATGACTTTCTACTTATTTATTATAAGTAGTTCACCATCTAAATTCACACAAGCACACGTTCATAGCGAGAATCGCAGCATGGCCCGAACAAATTAACCGAAAAGCAGTTAACCAACCTAATGGGTCAAATAACACTTATCCACAGTGGAACACTTCCGCTCGTTCAAAATATGTGAAAAAATGAACCTCAAAGAAGAGTGACGGACGGTCTCCCGAGACCAACCTCCAAAACTCAAAAAAGGATAAACGTACGAATACGAGATTTGACGAAATTTAGAGTCATCAGCAAGTCACTGAAGTCAGAAAAACTACCACCTCCTTGGCATTGGGGAATCAGCCATAGAACACCAAAAAGTGATTTAGGGAAGACTGTCCAATTCTTGTCATGAACCTCAATGAATTCAGCAGCTTAACTCTTCATGCTGACGACAGTTGCCTTGGCTGTGCCCCACAAGTCAACCGAGTGGCAGGAATATCACCGGAACCGAAATAACTCAGGTTCCCTAATTCGTTTAAACCCCGTCAAATACTGAACACATTCTAAGGCTACAAAAAGCTGGCATACTATAACAGGACTAAAACTACCACACCAAGCCACAAGTGACACACAGAAAAAACCAAGGTTAATTCCACACACTGGAATACAATAACTATAACTTGTTTTACAAAACGTATATATAAGTACAGAACCAAACTTTTAACGAAACAGAATCACAGTAGTAATAAGACGCAATGCAAAATAGATACAACCCACGTGCTCAAACTGTCTATAAAAATCGTAAACATAAACAGCCAAAAACTTAGTGTCCGAACATAAAAGACAATATTCAAAAACCATTATGTATACAGGCTTTAATAATCAACAATATGAAGTCCAACTTAGAAGCGTCTACCACCCTTAACAACGGGCTTGCCAACCTTCTTTGCGGCTTTAGGCTGTTGCTGTGCTTTTGGTGCCGGGGCAACACTCTTCTTCTTAACCTCAGCCTTCTTGGCCTTCCTTTCAGCCTCCTTAGCCTTTTGCTTTTCCTTCAGAGCACGCAAAGCTTGGTCGCGCATAGCCTTGCGAACATCAGGATTTTGATTTCGCTTGGCCATAATCTCAGCCATGCTGGCACCAGCAAAAGCACGAGCGGCTTTGGTGACCTTCTTAGATCGTTTCTTTGTCGTTTCTTCAACTACACCCTTCCTGTATTTTCGGCGGTAAAGTACAGTCCAGCTAACCTCACGTGGATTACGCTTCAGATAGTGAGAACGTTCGCACTTCCCACTGAGGAAGTAGAACTGACGACCATCTCCACGAATAGCACGTTTGCCATGGCCGGGGTATACTTTGTATCCACTATATGAACACACTTCAAGCCTGCAAAGCGAAAGTGGAAAATATAAACATCCAATAACTATTTATTCAGTTTAAGGATGAGTAGAATAATAAGCAATGAAAACTTATTCACGACAGGTCTTACTTATGGCCAAACTATATTTACGATTTCATGAAAAATTACAGCTGAAATTCATGCACTTACTTCATCGCGCTGGCGGTACGAACCGAGTGTGCGGTTTAAAACAAATGGTGTATTCAAAGCAAAAATTAATTTTAATACAACATAAATAATTAAATCATTAAATGATTACATGAAAATTTTGTAATTTATTTACTCTTATTCCATTCGTTTTCGTCTTATATTATTTGAAAATATTACGTTGGAAAACGTTATTTATGTTATTAGTATTAGTTTAAGCTCTGACTTATGCGTATGTTTAGACAAGAGCAACTCTATATAATATTTTTAGTTATTTTTTGAAATTATGGCCCTTTTTTGCTAGTATTTATTTGGTTTTACAATAACCAATTATTAACCAAATAGCTCCCACCCATATGGTGTTCCGCAATTCCTATTGGTTCTCTTCCTTTGAGAACCCATATAAAATCTACTGACTGACAGTTTTGTTGTTTTCTAGTAAAATGGTGAAAGGACGCTTGTTGTGGGTTGGTGGCAAGATACTGGCGAAGCTGAACGCTCAAAATTCACTCAGCTTCGGCTTATCATGCCGCAAACCTCAATGTTAAGCATCAATGGAGTTACAAGCTAATTCAGAGAACTCGGTAAATCAGCTCATAAATAGTTCCATTTTTAACTGTTTCCGACTGTTTTTTTGCTTTCCGGTCGTATTTAATATGAATACCTTTATACGATTATTAACTATTCTGTTAAATTGGCTATTGTAAATTCATAGTACAGATCTCCTTACAGTTGCCGATTTTTATCATAAAAATTCATATAACACTTTTCATTTCTTTCCTCGTAATTTTTATCTTAATTTCTCAATTAACTATTATTCACTTAATTATTATTGTAGCTGGTGTCGCCTTGGACCACCGATAAGTATCTTTTTTCCGAGATGGTCATTTTTAGCTGAAGTGGATCTATCAATACAGCTAAATCTGCACAATAAAATATTTTGAAATTTTTAGGGTTTCACTTTAGAAACACTCAACTATATCCATGCAAATCTGTGTCTAGGGGAACTACTTCACTGTGAGTTGTAATGCTTTAATAATCATGAGTTCATATTGCCATTTAATTAAACTAATTATTTAGCGCAAGCCAATTAATGGCCTTTCTTTTTGCCATTTAACGGTACTTCACATCATAGATTAGACGTCTATTTCATGATAGTTACTGATGGACCCTTGCTTATAATTGCTTATTTCATGTCAATCTGAACTGGCTAAGTTAATTCAAAGTTATTCTTGTAACTGCACATAATGGATTTCCAAACCATGGATGTGGACACAGAACGGAACATACCTGCACCTACGTGTACGTGAGACCATGCTTTCGTGTGTGCACATACTGCAGTTTGTTCTAGTAACTGGACAGCCTATGAAACACAAGCTACACCACCGCTTCGTGGATCAATAATTCACAATGTCGGCAGTAGCTCTGGATGCTGTCTCTACGTCTAAAATTGCAAAAACCGGAGTGGAGATTGTCACCTCCCCCCTCCCTTCCAATTCTCCTTTGTTTAAGGAGCTTCGCCAATAAATTTCATTTAAATGAGTATGATCAATAATTAATGGAATTTTCTGCTTTATTAAAGTCCAGAAAATCGAATATGCTCTGAGGTGGGTAGAGAGGGTTTTGACCCTCCCTCCCGCCCCCCCCCCATTTCTTTAAGATATAATGAATGTTTCCAAATATTAGTCAATCCAATAATATTTAATCTTCGTCATCCGTTTCATTGACTGAGTTTATTTTGTTTGAGGCCTAAAAGATCGATGAATTCCTCTAATCTAAATATTTAAACAATTGCCTTCCCCCCTCCCCAACGCATACTTCACATAATCAATAATTCCCTTCTACTTCAGGTGAGTGTACCGTGCCTCGTTTAGCGCAAAATATAAACTTATCAAACTTCTTTCCATCTTCCAAGTTACGTTGGGACAAATGTTTCATCAATTGAGACAGGAATTTTCATATGCCATTATTCATCATTATTTCAATCTGAGTTAAAGTTTTGAAAATGGAAAAATTAGACACAGTTTCCTGCTCTTACTATTGGAAACTGAATCGTTCCTCTCCAAGAGTCTAGAAATATGTGCTCCATATTCATGCCACTAAAATCAGGAAATTTTCAGCAGATGTTTGGTCCTAAAAGAGGACAATGATTGGATTGAATTTTATTTATCACTGATTTCAGATTATCATTTTGAAAAAAACAAGAAGGCAAGGGAGGAAAAATAATCCGTTTCTAAGCTAAAATAATTTATACCTTTTATTTCAAAAAAGCACTTTGCAGTTTTTATTGTGTGCGTGTAGTAACTTGTTGCTGGACAAGATGTCCAGCTAACTAGGTTGTGGGAGCTTAAACAACCTATCCACTCCCTTTATTCGTGGGAAGAGAACATTTAAATTTGTAGATTGATGTTCTCCACTAATGCGTAATTTATTCATTTCCATTTTAGTCTTACTAATTATCTCTCTCGAGCTGATTTATCACTATCTCTCTCTCTCTCTAATGACGTAGGTTTGAATGTACATTGTTCAATTATAACCCCGAAGAATAAGCAAGTAAATAAATGTATATGAAAGCAATGCGAAAGCTCTGTAGAGGAGGCGGGATACTATTGGTTAGTTCATCACTTCTACGGGCGTGTATTCAGTGTAATTAGCCAATGTGGCACGAGTGCGCAGAGAACGCGCACATAAAAAATCGAAACATAGAGGTGTCCCTGTAATTGGGTGAAAGCAGAACCCAAATTTCGACCATCCCAACTGCAAGGCAGAGCAGTGAATAATACAAACTGTTCTATTAAATTCTCAATGAGAGGTAGTGTAATTATTTTCTTATTTTATAATAAGTAAATATTAACTTACCAAATATTTATTTATATCAAATGGTGGGCGTTTTGATCGTTATCATTAGCCCTTTAGTTGATTTCAGGCTTCACAGAGGGGAACGAACATCAAAATGAAAAAAGTCGAGAGAGAGAGGGGAGAACAGAAGGGTGCCTCAAAGATGTAAAAGAGGCAGACACAAAGGTAGAAAAAAGGTGAGGTGAGTACTGTGGAAGTTGTGGAATATGACATACAGTGGGGTTATGGTAGTTTGAAGTCAGAAGTCAACTGCCGGTTTATAGACTTTTTTTGCCGTATGAGTATACGCTTCCCAGGGTGCACCACACGGAGATAAGTCTATCGCACACCCCGCTTACCAATAACAAGACTGTTAATTATAACATTCCTTTGATTGCTGTAATGCCAATGGCAC